GCTTGCTGCGTAGTTTGTTCTTGTTGGTCGTTTTGGTAATAAAAAGAAAAAAAAAATCGCTCATCCTCATCTATCACATTTCAGGAGTATCTTTCAGATAAAGTTCATTTTCTCTTGCCTCAGTAAGTATGCCAGATTATGCTGTTTTATTTTCAGTAAAACGTAAACACTGCTAATATTCCTTTGTCAAGACAGGAAGAATTTATAGATTTTACCTTCCAACATCCTGATTGTTTTCATGTCTCCTGCTGTCACCTTGCTCCGGAAATACTACACCAGCCATCTCATGTGTTACTGTCAGAGGTTCTGTTGGCATATTAATTTCATAGGTGCTTTTCTTTCCTTTTTTTCTAGTAAAGCCAGGAACTCTAGTTAAAAATCCATAAGAAACTAATGTTTTAGAGGAAATCTATTGTAAACATTAAAAAAAATGAAAAGTTCCAAAACTTATCTAACCTATTTCATTTATTAACTCGGAAAGCCACGATGAAGTAACAACCACAAGCAAGGAAACATACTCCTTGCATCACTAACAAAAGACCCTGACCAAGGAACCAGATAACTAACAAAACAAGCCCTAGAAATTTGACTACAGAATTGAGGCTAAAAGAGGGGAAGGAAAGGAGAAGGTGACAAAGTAACAGGGATGAGAATCCAGCGGTCTAGGATAAAGCACTCTGGGTGCTTTGGCGGTGGGGATCGTGTGGTAACATCCACCTGATGAGGTGGGAACCTGTCCCCTCAAACATACACAGGCTTGTCAACCAATGATCCTTCGATGAAGTCACCCAAAACTGACTGGTCCTCATTGTTACCTCTCAGCAGTATTTGTCTGACAAGTGTAAGATTTTTCTTGTGTTAGCCTATAAGCTACATCATACAGTCTGAGTTCCAGAAGAGTAATCACTGCTAATATTCCTTTACCTATACAGGAAGAAATTATAGACATTGCTTCCATTATTCTGTCTTGATTCATATCTTCTGCTGTCACCAGTCACTGAATGCAAAGCACCAGACTTCCTGCTTACTTTAGGCACAGATACTGTTGAATAACATGTTTCATTTTTGCTCTTCTTTACTCCATTTTTATGCAAGCCAGGAATATTACTTTTGAAAAAGAAACAAAATAAAGCTAATTTAAAAAAAATACTTATGATGATTTAAAACACAACTTTTGTAAAATAAAAATAAAATGGGAAGGGTTGAAGAGAAACAGGAAAAACAAAAATGGAAGAACAATCAGGTTACAAAATGTAAAATACTGGAACAGAAGTCACCACAGTAATTTTATTTTTTTTTATTTATTTTTTTTATATAGAGGCATGTTTTTCTTTCTTTCTTTATTTGTTTGTTTTTTTTTGTTTGTTTGTTTGTTTATACATGCACTGGGTACAGTCAGAAGCACGGGAGGGTGAGAGAATTCACCAGAGCCAGAGCGGGGTGCAGAGCAGGCAGAAGGACCGAAGTACACTGCTGAGGGGAGCAGCGGGCGGCAGGAGAGGTCTGCGAGCCATGTGGGACCCTCCTCCGGTGGCCGGGGAGCAGCCAGGGATCGAACCGGCGCCGCAGAGGCCACGGGCAGCTTCGCAACCCAGCACTCAACCGCTGTGCCACCAGGGAGGCCCACCACAGTAATTTTAAAAACTACTAAATGCTAAATTTAAAACCTAGAGTTCACTGACTCAACGTTATGACACACAGATGTGGAAATACTAATTAGCCATATATGATGCTTATCAATTTCTTTTTAAATATAATAACATGTAAATGGAAAAATACTATTAGACACATACAATATGAATGAGGAGATCCAGGAAATATGCTGGGGCTGGGGTGTAAATGCCTATATGTTGGTTTGACTTCAGGTTCATGATCAAATAAGTCATAATTCATCATGCCCCCTTCCAAGAACAATTTGGTGTCACCCATGGACAAAACATAATGCCTTTCTGAGAGTTGAGTGCTCCAGTCCCATACACAAGAGATTTCAGAGGGATGGCAGCTTCGTTGTAGTGTGTACAGACTCACAGACCAGTCTCAGCAGTGGACCCTGCAGGGCCCAAGACTTGGCTCCACACACTCTTAAGCTGCATCCAGGAACAGCTGGAAAACCCTGCCTTCAGCAATCACTCCAGATGGGGCAGCATTCATTGAACTGCAGACCTTAATTTCCATTCTCCCCAAAGCCTATTTAGAGGAACAGGTGGTTGTGTTCAAAAACACCATGTCACACAGCATACATTTCTCCTACCATGGGGAACAATACAGACAAACATCGTAAGTTAATTTTACATACTGACAGTTCATAATTCTGTGGCAAGAATTTTTTTAACTCCTATAATTTACTAGTTGCTTCTTTAAGTAATAGCATATAAACAGTTTTTTCTACTCATCAGATCCATTTGACCTTATATAAAATACCATATACCAGTAAAAGGTTTAAAAGTGAGGAAATATATGACTGAGCTTAAACCACACAATGCAGAACATGCATAGAGCAAATACAGCATATTGCAGAGAGCCAAAGGAATCCCAAAGAGCATATAATTGACAAGTAGACTTTCACCAGGGACCCACACAAAACTGTTTAGTCTAAGTGAGAATTAGTATAAAATGTAAAATAAAACACACAGATGAAACTCCATTCACTCAGTGAGCCTTCAGGGGATAATATTCCAGCCCAGTTTGGGCACTGAAATAATAGCAGAGATCAGACCAAAATCCTACCCTTGAGAATGAAGTAAACAGATGATGAACTCGATGTCAAAACATATATCCTGCTAGAGTATACTATAGCAGAGATAAGGAAATTTGGAGGTTTGTAAGCAGGGAAGGCATAAGAATAAGATTCAAAATGGCCAACCCCTCAGATATTGCTGAGAAAGTAGCTTGTGAAGGAATGAAAGGAGCAATCATAAGGATATCAGAAGATAAATCATTCCAGTTAGAATCAACAGCAAGTACAGGGGTATGTCTTCAGGGTGACAGAATGTTGAAAAGGTCAACGTGGTTGGAGCACAACGGAAGGGACAGAATATGGAAATTCTTTTTTTCTAAGATTTATTTATTTATGCATACAATACCTGAGGTGCAAGCCAGAGGTGTCGGGAGGTGGTGAGAGGATTCACCAGAGATAGAGTGGGGAACAGAACAGGTAGACTGACTGAAATACACTGCTGAGGGGAGCAGCGGGTTGGACAGGAGAGGTGGCTGTGCCATATGGGTCACCTCCCTGACCGGCCAGGGATCAAAATCATGCTGCAGAGGCTGTAGATAGCTTTACAGTATTGTGCTCAACCCCTTGTGCCACCAGGGAGGCCCCCTAGAATATGGAAATTCAAGTGACAGTGAGAGACAGAGACTTCAGGGAGACAAAAACTGATCTAAGAGGAACATAAAGTGTAGGGGTTGCTTTGTATTTGAAGAACATTGGCATGTACTGCGGCTGAAGAGGGAGTCAAAACAGAGGAACAGCATAATCTTTGCTATGTCAAAATAGGCCACTGATTTTAAAGAGTAAAAAAGACAGATACTAAGAAACCAAATAAAAGTTTCGGACACTAGTAAAGAGAGCAGATGATTTGGGATTCAACATGTAACAGGATATTGGCTTCGGGATATATTTGGCAGGGAAACCTGACAAGATTGACCATCAGATTCAATGTCAGAAGCAAAAGAAAGAGAAAGACAACAACCGAAGTGACACCCAAAACATTGACAGAACAAGAGATGCCACTAAGGAACCGATACTCTGCAAGAGTGAAGACATGAACAGAAGAACTGGTGTGAGAAACAATATCAGTAATTCAATTGGAGAAAAGGGAAACTTGCATAACAACAACCGTCCATCAAAAAGAATGATATCCAGCAAGGGATTTGATTTCAGTAATCAAGAAAAAAAGATCTGAAGTGGAAATATCATTTTGGAATCATTAATAAATACAAGGAAATAAAAGTCATGTGACAGAGGATCAAGGACTGAATCCTGGGATTTTTATTTTACTCAAAAGGAGGGTGGAGTTGAAGAGCTAGGAAACACAGACTGAGGTAGAAGAAAAGGAAATACATCAGGGACACAGGTAAGTGAGTTCTCCCTCTGAAAATGCCAGACCTGTAATCAAATGAAAGCAATGTTGCAGTAAAGAGATTTCCATTAAGGAAAATTTAGCCTATCAGTCTAAAACAGTATGTGTGGATACAGTGATGTGAAAAATTGGCAGTAATCTTTAAAAAGCAACTTTGGAGGAGGGGTGGGTAAGAAGTTTACTGGAGCGAATTCAAAGTGAAAATAAGGAGGAGGATAGATGTTGCTGTAGGACTTAGCTAAGTAGTATGACAGTGGAGGATCCTGTTCTCTTCTTGTTTTACTGTAGATTCCAACACCCAATAGTGATTATTCAGGACGTTTTATTACTAAAATTTTTCTTAATTACCTCAATGTGGTAATAATTGGTAAACATGGCAGACCAATTCAAAATATTTATAAAATTAAGAAAGCAAGGTTTCTGAAATGTTTCCATTCATGGAAATGAAACTATTCATTGAATCATTCATACAAAGCAAAGTATTTAATGTAAAACAGCTCCTCCACAATATAACTAAACAAAGAAACAAGCAAAATTAAACCAAAACAGCCCCTGGAAATATGGCTGCAGAACTGATGCTACTATACGGTGACAGGAGACAGAGAAAACAGAACAGAGAGGGAGCCCAGATCTACACTAAAGCACTATGAGTGCTGTGATGGTGGGTGTCTTGTGGTAAAGTACATCTTGTGATGTGTGAACCTATCCCACCACACATACAGAGGCTTGAAAAACAATGTTCCCTCAGTGAAATAAGAAAATGTCACTGGACCTCCTCTTTCCACTTTTAGCAGTATTTGTCCGAAAAGACTGAGCCTTCTCATACTTTGCCTAGCACACTATACCATGCTGCTTAATTTCCAAACAAATAATCACTGCTAATATTCCTTTAAAATTAGAGGGAGAATTATGGATTTTACCTTCTGGCTTTCTCATCTGAGTCATATCTCCTGACATCTACATTCACTGGAAGTTCAGCACCAGCCTGCTCGCTGACTTGACCCACATAATCTGGTGAAGACCAGGGATCAGTTTGGCTTTCCTTTACTACATTCTTCTGCAAGCTAGGATCTGTCCTTTAAAAAACAAACCATGTAAAAGTTAATGTTTATTAAGAAATCTTCTGATAAAGACTAATAAAACATCTTTTATAAATACCACAACTTAGTCATTGATTAATTTTTGAAATATTTATGAAGAAGTAAAAATGAAAAGCAAGGAAACAAACCCCATGCTGCAAAGTCAGAAATGCAATCATGATACTATCTGATAGCTAAGAGCACATATATGGCATGCTGAAAGTGAGCACAATGGAGGCTTTGCAGAGGAGGTAAGAAGACACAGAGGGAAGAATACCATTCCACATGGAGGTTACAACATGCATACAAAGATATGGCACATCACAACTATGTGTTCCCAAAAACTTGAAAGTGTAAGATCAAAACACTGAGAAATGAGTGACCCAGAAATTCTGATATATCTTGAAAGCTACACAAGTGTCTAAGTTCACTGCCAAATACTATTGACTCTAGGCAAGAATGTACTAATAAGATGTGTCATGTGATATTGGCCTTTTGTAATGCAATAATGTGCAACTGATTGAAAAATTTTGGGTTGTTGGAAAAGTCATGACATATTTTTTCTGTGTTTTTCAAGCAAAAATGTATCATGACTTTTCCAAGAGTCCAACAGTATGAAACAGGTATAATGGAAAAATTCTAAGAAATATCTCATGGGTGAGAATAGATTAACTTTTAAAACAACCATCTGTTGGAAAGACATCAGGGTCCTGACCAAATAAGTTTTACTTCATCAGGTCTCCACCAAGAACCACAATTTGGCATCACTCATAGAAAAAAAAAAAAAAGGCCTTTCTAATATCTGCGGGTTCGAGTACCAACACCAAGGGATCTAAGAGGAGACTTAGGTGCAGTGTATAAAGTGAGGAATTAAGACAAGAGGTCTAAAGAATAATGAAAATTTGGGAGGACATTAGCATATATAAAAAGTGGCAGTCATGAGACAAAAGATCAAAGCCAATTTTGGGATACTTCAATCCCTAAAATAGGAAGTGGGATTGAAGAAATTGGACAAATATATTGAGGTGGAAGAATGAGAAGTGCACAGCAGACACCTAGTAATGAGTTCTCCCCCTTAAAAAAGAGTCCTGGAGTTAAATGAAGATATGATGTTGGAGGAGAGAGATTTCCACTGAAGAAAATATAGCCCATCAGTGTAAAAAGTATGTGTGGATAAAATGAACACTTGGTGGTGACTGATCAAAGGCAGTTTGGAAGAGCGGTAAGTGGAGAAATTAAAAGTGCAAGTTCAAGAGTGAATATAAAAGAGGAACTAGGGGATGGGCAAACAGTTCTGTATAACTGATAAGCTTAGTACTATGACTGTGGAGGATCCCATTTTCTTCTTTGACTGTAGTTTGCAATACCCAATCATGATTATTTACTATTTTTGTATTGCAATGCTTTTTTTAGTCACATCCATTTACACTCAAAAGTCAACTAAATGGCAAACAATTCAAAGCATTCATATAATACCTGCAAATAACAGCAAAGGTCTCTGGAATGTGTCTATTTATTGAATTGATTCTATTCATTGAATTCATGAATAGAAAACTGAGAAATTTATTGCAATAAGCTTTTCCACAAATAGTCAAAATAGGAATTGGAAACACTACCAAAACATACACTGGAAATATAACTGGAGAATTAAATCTATTTGAAGGTAAGGTGATGAGACAGAAGAGAGAGAGACCCAAAGTTTACAGTAAAGTACTATGGGTGCTTTGGTAGCGGGTATTTTATGGTAACACACATCTTATGAACTATGAAACTAGCACCGAAATCATACACAGGCTTGTAAGCCGTTATCTCTTGCATGAAGTGACAAAAAGCATATTGGGTCCTGTTTTCTTTTTTTTTTTAAGATTTATTTATTTATTTATTTATTTATACAAGAGCTGGGGTACAGGTCAGAAGCATGGGAGTTTGAGAGAATTCACCAGAGCCAGAGCAGGGAGCAGAACAGGCAGACAGACTGAAGACACTGCTGAGGGAGCTGCGTGTGAGACAGGAGAGGTCTGCAGTTCAAATATAAAGTTGGGGATCACTAGCACATACAAGAAAGTAACAGTCATGTTTTTGTTAGAAGACAGAAGATCAAGGACTGAATGTTAATGCTCCTCCTCAATTTGGATAAAAGGAGGATGCAGTTGAAGAGAAATAGGAAACACAGACTAAGATGGAAGAACAAGAAGTGCTTGGGGGGAACCTGATACATGAGTTTAACCTCAGAAAATACAAGTCCCGAGAAGCAAATGAAGAAATTATTTTGAAGGAGAGATTTCCATTATGCAAAAGTGTTCACTCTTTTTATGGATGGCTGTTGTTACGCAAGTTTCACTTTTCTCCAATTGAATTACTGATATTGTTTCTCACACCAGAGTGAACACAGAAAAATTAGGGGATGGACAGTTCTGTAGGACTTAGGTTAGTGTCACAGCCATGGAGGAGACCATTTTCTTCTTCGGCTGTATTTTGCAATACCCAATCAGAATTATTTAGTATTTTTGGTACTACTCTACTTTATTTCAAACCACCTCTTTGTGACATTCAATGGACAACAAAACGGTGGAACAATAAAAATTTATAAAATCTTATAAGCAAAATATTCTGAATGTTTCTATTAATTGAATTTGTAGATCACTGTAAATAGAGCTCAACGTATTTACAGCAACAGATCTCCTCAACAAAGTCACTAAACAAAGCAAATGACAAAATTAAAAAAAAAACAACAAATATAGGACATAGGACTGAAAAATTGAGGCTGAGTGTGGGAGAGTTAGACAGGGTGACAACACAAAGGAGGGGCCTACGGTCTAGAATAAAGCAGTGTGGGTGTGATGGTGGAGGGTATCCTGTGGTAGCATCCATCTGATGAGGTGTGAACTTATCCCCTAAATCATACACAGGTTGTAAATGAATGTTCCCTCAACAAAGGGGCAAAACACAAAGTGATTCTCATAGTTCATAGTTTGGCAGTATTAGTCTGATCAGGGTGAGATTTCTCTTGCCTTGGACTGTCAAATGTATTATGCTGCTTGTTTCCCACACAGTAATCACTGCTAATAATCCTTTAAACTGAAAGGAAAGTTTATAGATTTTACCTTCGGGGAATCTCAACTGGGTCATGACTCCTGCAATTCACATTCACTGGAAGGGCAGGACCACTCTTCTTGTTGATTTGGCCAACAGATTTTGATGAAGGTGATAAAATACTGTTTCGCTTTTTTGCTAACTTCTTCAGGAAACCAAGAACCCTCCTTTAAAAACAAAAGTAACAACAACATATGCAGGAAAATACTTCTTTGCTTCAAAGCCACAATTCTGATACCACGTAATAGTACATTTATGATATGCTGTAGGTGAGCATCTGGGAGGTTTTAAAATGGGGGTATAAATACACAGCAGGTTACCAGGGAAGAAATGGCTCCACACAGAGATTACAACATGAACAATAGGATAGGACACATCACATCTATGTGTTTCCCAAAGATGAAAGGCACAGAACAAAACACTAAGAGATGAGTGCACCCAGAATTTTTTTTTTTTTTTTTTGGTTTAGGCTTGTCAAATATGGCCTTTATTATCTCTAGGTATGCTCCTTCTACATCCATTTTTAATGAAAACTTCTTTCCCTTCATTTGTTTTATTTTATAAATTTAAATTTATTTTTATATTCCCCATACAATGACAACTCCCTTATTTTGACCCCAATCCCTCCTTTCCACACTCCCTACCCCCCATAGAGTGACTCTGGTTCATAGTTGTTTGTTGATTTTGATATTTTCTTTCTTATAGTTATTCTTTTGAAACATATTGAGTGTTACACTGAAAAGCCTATGTTCATTGTTGAAAAGCGTTCGTAAACAAGAAACTGAGAATTCAACGTGTACTGCATATAGACATTGTTTTCTTTAATGTAATAATGCGCATAGATTGAAATCAGTACTAGGCACATATAGTGGAAGAAATCCGAGCAGATCTTGTGTGTCAGACATCATGTATTTATAAAATACATTCTGTTTGAATGATATCAGGGTCCTGTCCAGAACAACAATTTAGCATCCACTCCAGATGAAAAAAAAATGCCTCTCTAATATCTCTGCATTTTAGTGTCATATGCAAGGGGATGTGAGAGAAGCCCCAGCCACGGGCTGAGTGAGTACATGATAGGAATTAAGGTAAGATGTCTGCAGTACCAAAATAAAACTGGGGATTATATGCATATAGAAGGAAGTAAATGACATGAGACAGAATATTCTGAGGTATTTAAATTTTTCCAAAGGAAATGGGCTTTGAAAACAAGTGGGAAAAAGAGTCTGAGGTCAGGGAACAAGCAATGAGTGGGACCATTACTGGTGTAAATTCAAGAGCGAATACAAGGGAAACTCGGGATAGATAGTTCTGTGGCCCTTAAAGAGCTCATGGCATACCATGGTGGGTCACAATTCTTCTTGTTTGACTAGTTTGCAATGCACAACCATGATGACTTAGAATTTCTGTAACATTGACTTCTTTTCTAATTAACTGCATGTGACACACAATGATCAGCAAAGTGAAGGGGAATTCAAAAATTCATATGATCAATAAAGCAAACCTCCCCTGATTGTGTCCGTTATTGAATTTAATCTATGTATTTAATTTATGAATAGATATTGATTAGATATTAAAGTATTGATTGCAATGCATCTCCTCCTCACAGTCACTAAACAAAGGAACTAGAAAAGTAAACAATTTCAAACACAGGATATAAAACTACAGATAGGAGTTTACTAGAAGATGAGCAAAAGGGATTGTGCAGAGAACAAAACCAGGACAGGGCCTAAGATCTACAGTAAGGCAATACTGGCATTGGTGATGGGTGTCGGGCAATACCATACATCTGATGAGATGGGAACATATGGCCCAAATCATACCCAAGATGGGAAAACAATGTTCTCCCTATGAGAGACCAAAACTCATTTGTCCCCATCATTAAACTGTCAGCAGTCCTTATCTATAATGGTGAGATAGTTTTTGCCTGACAACTGCAATGATTTAAAAAAAACACAATCACAGCTAATTTTCCTTGAACCTTCAAGGAAGAGTTAATTTTAACCTGGTGACACTCTCATCTGGTTCATGTCTCCTGCCATCAACATTCACTGGAAATACAACAACAGGCTTCACACCAGCTAGACCCTCAGATACCGATCAGGACACAGAATCACATTGGTGATTCTTTGGTGTCAGGCACCCTACTTTAAAGTGCAACCGTGTACCTCATGGTTTCAAAGAAATCTACTAATAAAGCATAACAAAACAACTATTACAAAATTCCAACACACCCATCTTCACTCATGTATACATTCTTAAAATCATGATGAATTAATAACCATAAGAAAGGAAAATCCTCCCTTTTTCAAAGCCACTAGTACTATTTGATACAATGTGATAGTTTTTTAGTGTACATTTAGGACATGTTGTAAGTGAGCACCAGGGAGGCTGTAATAGTGGGTACAAAAATACAGAAAGACACCAGGCAAGGAGCTGGGGGAGAAACCATATGACATGGAGATTACAAGGTAAGCACTTGATAGGGCACATCACATCAATGTGTTTCCCAAACTTGACAGGATAAGAGTAATACTTTGAATGTTGAGTGCACCCAGAAATTTTGAAACATATTGAATGCTACACTGAAAAGGTGATTTCACTGTGGAAAACTACTGATGCTTAGACAGGAGACTAATAATTAAATGTGTACTGTTCTTTGGCTTTTATTTTTATAATGTAATAATGTGCACCTGATTAAAAAATATATGGGAACATGTACTGGAAGAAATCTGAGAAATTCTTGTCAGTGAAATAGATTTACTTTCAAATATTCAATACACATATCTCGGGAATGACTCAGGATCATCCAAATAAGTTGTACCTCATCAGTTTCCTGTACTAAGAACAGCAATTTGGATTTATCCACAGACAAAAAAAAAATTGCCTTTCTGACCTGAGTGATCTACTACCAGATACCCAGAGAGGAGCCCAGCTGCAGGTGCAGTGAGAACATGCCAGGCATTAAGATAGGATCTGAGCAGAAAAAAAACTTTGGACACCTTTAGCATTTTCAAGGAAATAAAAGTCATGGGACAGAAGATCATGGGATACTTCAATTTGTCTAAAGGAAATGGGATTGAAAAGAAACAGGAAAAACAGACTGAGGTCAAAAAACAAGAAATGGAAGGGGGATACCTAGTAAGGGAGGTCTCCCTCTGAAATTACCAGAGCCTAGAGTCAAATGAAAATACTATGTGGTGGGGGCCTCCCCAGTGGTGCAGCGTTTGAGTGCTGGGTTGCGAAGCTGCCTGTGGCCTCTGCAACACTGGTTCGCTCCCCGGCCACCAGAGGAGGGTCCCACATGGCGAGCAGACCTCTCCTGCAGCCCGCTGCTCCCCTCAGCAGTGTATTTAGGTCCTTCTGCCTGCTCTGCTCCCTGCTCTGGTGAATTCTCTCACCCTCCCGTGCTTCTGACTGTACCCAGTGCATGTATAAACAAACAAACAAACAAATAAATAAATGAAACATGCCTCTATTAAAAAAAAAAAAAAGAAAGAAAATACTATGTGGTGGGACAATGGTTTCCATTGAGGCAGACATTGCCCATGGGTCTAAAAAAGCATGTTTTGTTATCATAGTGTGAAAAATCTTTGTAATCTTTAGAAAGCAAGTTTGGAGCAGGCATGAATGGGCCCATTACTGGTGAAAGTTCAAGAGTGAAAACAAGGGCCTCCCCGGTGGCGCAGCGGTTGAGCGCTGGTTTGCGAAGCTGCCCGCGGCCTCTGCGGCGCCGGTTTGATCCCCGGCTGCTCCCCAGCCACCAGAGGAGGGTCCCACATGGCGCGCAGACCTCTCCTGCCGCCCATTGCTCCCCTCAGCAGTGTACTTCGGTCCTTCTGCCTGCTCTGCTCCCCGCTCTGGCTCAGGTGAATTCTCTCACCCTCCCGCGTCTGACTGTACCCAGTTCATGTATAAACAAAACAAACAAACAAATAAATAAATAAATAAAACATGCCTCTATTAAAAAAAAAAGTGAAAACAAGAGAAACTGGGTATAGATAGTTCTGTAAGCCTGAAAGAGCACATGGGATACACAATTCTTCTTATTTGAATAGTTACAAATACATAATAATGATTATTTGGTATTTCTTTAATAGTCTGCTTCTTTTCTAACCACCTGATGTGACACACAATGGTCAACAAAGTGAAGGAAAATTGAAAAAAAAAAAGATCATTACAGAAATTATATCTTGATTGTGTTTCCTTTTATTGACTTGAATCCATTTACCGAATTTATGAATTGATGATGGATAGATATGAAAGTATTTACTGCACTATGTCTCCTCCACAGTCACTAAGCTAAGGAACTAGAAATCTGAAAAAACACAGAACATACAACTGAAGCACAAGGGGTTGGGAGGAGAATAAAATAGGGATGGGGCCTAGCGTCTATAGTAAAGCATTATGGGGCATTAGTGGTGGGTGTCAGACACCACAGTCACCTGATGAGGTGTGAACATATCCCCTAAAGCACACACAGGCTTGAAAACAACACTGCCTCGATGAAGTGACAAAAACACAATGATCTACATCATTCAACTTTCAGCAGTGTTTGCATATAATGGTGACAATTTTGCCTTGGCCTGACAAAAACAATCACAGCTCATTGTCCTTGAACCTTAAAGGAAGAGTTGTTTTTACCTTGTGCCATTCTTATCTGGTTCGGGTCTTCCGCCGACTACATTCACTGGTATCACAACAGGCTTCGTACTGGCTAGACCCGCAGATTCTGATAAATATGCTGAATCAAATTGGGTTGTCTTCTTCCCGTTGTCAGCAACCCTACTTTAAAAGAAGAAACCATGTAAACCTCATGTTTTCTAAGATAAAGTGTAATGAAACAACTTTTACAAAATTCCAACATTATCCACCTTCATTCACTGAATATTCTGAAAACCATGATGAAGTAATAACCATAAGCAAGGAGGATACTCTTTGCTTCAAAGCCACATGTACAATTATGACACAATGTGATAGTTAAGAGCACATTTAGGACATGCTGTAAGTGAGCACCTGGGACGCTTTATACAGCGGGTAATAGAAATACAGGGGTCCGCCAAAGGCACTGGTGGAAAAACCACTCTACATAGACAATAAAACATAAACAGTAGCACAGGGCACATCACATCTCTGTGTTTCCTAAACTTGAAAGGGAAAGAACAGGAACTGAGAGTTCAGTGTACCGAGAAATTATAAAACATATTGAATGCTACACTGAAAAGTCTGAGTTCACTGTGAAAACTGATGGATGCTTAGACAAGAGACTACTAATTAAATGTGTACTGTTCTTTGGCCTTTGTGTTTTTTTCAATGTAAAAATGCGTACCTAACTGAAATAGTACTAGGAACATATATTAGAAGATCTCTGATAAATTCTCATGGGGGAAAAATATTTATTTTTAAAATATTCCTTGCACAAATCATGGAATGACATCAGTGTCATGTCCAAACTTAGTTTCCCCTACCCAAAATAACAATTTGACATCTGTCATGGACAAAAATTATTGCCTTTATGTCCTCAGTGACCCAGAACCACACATCATGAGAGGAGCACCAGCTGCAAGTGCAGTGAGTACAGGTCGGGAATTAAGATATCTGTAGTGTAACTATAACTTTGAACATCTTTAGCATATTCATGGAAGTAAAAGTCATGGACAGAAGACCTGGGATACTTCCATTTGTGCAAAGGCAATGGGGTTGAAAAGAGGTAGGAAATACAGATTGAAGTCAAAGCACAAGAAATGGATGCAGGATGCCAGGTAAGTGAGTTCTCCCCTGAAATTACCACAGCATAGAGCCAAATGAAGATATTATGTTGAAGGAGAGTGATTTCCATTGAGGCAGACAGAGCCCATGAGTCTGGTAAAAGTTCAAGAGTGAAAACAAGAGAAACCTGGAATAGGTAGTTTTGTAGGACTTAAGAGATCATGGCATACTATGGTAGGTCACAATTCATTGTTTGACTAGTTTGTAATACACAATCATGATTATTTAGTATTTCAGTAATATTGGTAATAGCCTACTTCAAAAGTCATAGGATCATTAAAGCAAATTAATTCAAAAATTCATATGATCATTGAAACAAATTCATATGATCATTGAAGTCTCCTGATTGTGTTTCCATATAGAATTTAAACTATATATTGAGATTCTGAATGGATGCAGTAAGATAGTAAAGATGTATGCAATGCATCTCCTCCTCACAGTCACTAAACAAAGGGACTAGAAAACAAGACAAAACAAGCCAAGAATATAGGACTACAACTGAGTGCACTAGAAAAGGATCACAAAGCATTGGGGGTTAGAACAAAAAGGGAGGGGACCAAGGTCTACAGTAAAGCAGTACGGATATATTGGTGGTTGCTGTTGGCAGTAATATTCATCTGATAAGGTGGAAACATATCTCCCAGAACATACACAGGCTTCAAAAACAATGCTCCCTCTATGCAGTAACCAAATACTTACTGGTCCATATCACTCAAGTATTAGGTGTTATTTGTCTGATAATGGTGAAGATTTTCACCTTGGCTTGAAAGTGCAATATGCTGTTTAATTTCAGAAGAGCAGTCACAGCTAATTTTCCTTGAACCTTGAAGGAAGAGTTGATTTTTACCTTGTGACATTCTTATCTGGTTCCCATCTCCCACCATCCATATTCACTGGAATCACAGCAGGCTTCGTACTGGCTAGACCCACAGATTTGGTTGAAAGCCTTGAATCACTTTGGCTTGGCTTGTTCTGTTTGTCTGAAACCCTACTTTAAAGGAAGAAACTATGTAAACCTCATGGTTTCTAAGAACTCTACTCATTAAATATAATAAAACAACTGTTAAAAAATTCCAGCACTATCCATCTTTATTCATTGATATATTCTTAAAACCATGAGGAAGTAACACCCACGAGCAAGGAAACTACTCCTTGCTTCAAAGTCACATGTACAATTGTGATACACAATGTGATAGTTAGAGTACCCTGTAGGTAGCAACTGGGAGATTTGACAGCATAGGCAAAAAAGAAAACAACAAATACAGCAGGTCACCAGAGAAGGAGTTGGAGGAGAAATCTCGCCACAGAGATTACAATGTAAACAATAAGATAAGCACATCACATCTCTGTGTTTCCTAAGGGTCATGCCTAAATGTTTGGACATGTACCTCATCAGTTTCCCCACCAAAAACAAGAATTTGGCATCACCCATGGACAAAAAAATAATTGGATTTGTGAGGTGAACAGTCCAGTACATACACCCAGGGATCTGAGAGGAGCCATGGCTGCAGGCGCTGGAATGCATTCCAGAAATTAAGGTATGAGATCTGTTCTGTAAAATAATTTATCAGATCATGAGCATATTCATGAAGTAACATTTGAGATAGAAGATCTTGGGAGACTTCCATTTGTCTGTAGGAAAGGGGGTTGAAAACAAATAGGTAAAACAGACTGAGATGGAAGAACAAGATATGGGGGGGAGGACATCTGATAAGTATGTTCTCCCCTTCAAAATACCAGAGCCCAGAGTGAAATGAAAAAAATTATGTTGGAGAAGAGAGTGTTTCATTGAGGCAAATAAAGCCCATCCATCTAAAATGGGATCTGTCAATACCTTAAAGTGGAAAATCAGTGGTAAGCTTTAGAAAGCAATACTAGAGGGACCTCCCTGGTGGCTCAGGGGTTAAGTCTCAGCACTATCCAGCTATCTCCAGCCACTGTGGCCTGAGATTGATCCCTGCCCAGGGAGCTACCCACATGGTGCAGCTGGCCACCCCTCTCTCACCTGCTGTGCCCCTCAGCAGTGTATTTCTGCAGATCTGCCTGTTCTGCTCCCCATTCTGTCTCTGGTGAATCCTCTCAATCCCTACACCCCTGTCCTATACCCCAATTCTTGTATTCATAAAAAAATAAAATGAATACTTTAAAAAAAAGCAAGTGAGCTTTAGGAAAGGACATGTATAGGAAAATTACTGGTGTAAATTCAAGAGTTGAAACAAGAGAAATTGGGGGTAGATCTGTAGGTTTGGTTGGCAACATGATACATGTGGTGGTTCACATTGTCTTTGTTTGACTGTAGTTTGCAATACCTACTCACGATTAGTTAATATTTCTGCATTAGTGTACTTTTTTTCTAATCACATCTAGTGACACCAATTGTCAACAAAATGGTATAACAATTCAAAAAATTCATGTGATCATTTAAGCAAAAGTCTCCTGAATGCATTTGCATTGATTGGAATGAATATATCTATTGAATTTATGAATGGATGCTTAATCAAAATTAATGTGTTTATAGCAATACATCTCCTCCACATAGGATAAATTAAGCCAAACAAACCAGGATAAAGGACTAGAGGAGTGAGTCACTAGAAGAGGAGCACAAGGGATGGGGGGATGGGAACTTTAGGGGGGAGCCTAAGGTCAAGAGCAAAGCACTAGGGCTATTTGGGTGGTGGATGCCATGTGGTAATGTAGCATCTGATGAGTGTGAACTTACTCCCTAAATGTTACACAGACTTGGAAAACAAGGTTCCTTCTATGAATTGACCAAATGCTCACAGGGCACGCTGTCCACCTTTCAGCAGTATTTGTCTGACACTAGTAATAGGTTTTTGCTTTGGCCTGTCCACTACAACAGGCTCTTTCATTTCAGAAAATCAGTCACAGCTAATATTCCTGTAACCAGAAAGGAAGAATAGAGATTTTACTTTGTGACATTCTCATCTGGTTGATGTTTCCCGTCATTGACATTCCTTGGAACTACAGCAACAGGTTTCCTAATAGATAGGTCCAAAGATTTTGAAGACCTTACATCACTTTGGCTTTCCTTTACTACTTTCTTCTGTAGCTCAGGAACCCTACTTAAAAAAAGAAATCATGTAAGTTCATTTTGTTTACGAAATCTACAGATAAAGAATAATAAAACACTGGGCCTCCCTGGTGGCGCAGGGGTTAGGACGCAGCCTGTGAAGCGATTCACACCCACTGCAGCACGAGTTCGATCCCCGGCCAGGTAGCAACCCACTTGGCACAGCAGACCTCTTCTACCTCACCTGCTGCTCCCCTCAGCAGTGTATTTCACTCAGTCTGCCTGTTCTGCTCGCCACTCTGTCTCTGGTAAATCCTCTCGCCACCCCCGCACCTCTGGCCTGTACCCCAGTTCTTCTATGCATAAATAAATAAATCTTTAAAAAAGATTATAAAACCAATCTTGCAATATTCCAAACTTGATCCATTTTCATTCATTGATATATCTTAAAACCATGATGAAATAATAACCACAAGCAAGGAGTATGTGATAGTTAAGAGTATATTTGATACAATGAGATAGTTAAGAGTATATTCATGACATGCTGTAAGTGAGCACCCAGGGGATTTTAAAAGTGGGTACAAAAATACAGCAGGTCATCAGGCAAGGAGTTGAGAGAGAAACCACTCCACATGGCTGTAACAAATACAAGGATATGGCACACGACATCAATGGGTTTCCTATACTTGAGAGGGAAAGAACAAAACACTGAGAGTTGAGTGTTTTGGGAACACATTGAATGCTACAGAAAATTTGAAACATATTAAATGCTCCACTGAAAAGTCTGTGTTCACTGTGGGAAAGAAATTAAGTTTAGACGTGGATCTATTAATTAGATGTCCAGTATTATTTTGAATTTGGCTTTCCATGTAATAATGTGCACTTGTTGAAAAATAGCATTGGGCCTATATAATATAATGGAAGAAAGCCAAAAAATATCTCATGGGTGAGAGCAGATTTAGTTTTAAAAAACACATACTTGGAATGATATCATGTTCATGAACAACTAAGTTGTACCTCATCAGTTTCCCCTACCATGAATAAAAATCTGGCATCACCCATGGACAGAAAATGACATTCTGGGATCTTTGTGTTCCAGTACCATACACCAAGATAGCTGAGAGGGGCCACAGGCACAGGCACTGCGAATGCATTCCAGGATTAAGATAAGAGAACTGCAGTGTAAGTATAAATTTGGGGGTCATCAGCATATACAAGGAAGTAAAGGTCATAGGAGAGAAGACCATGAGATAAATTAATTTGTCTAAAGGTAAAATGGAGTTGAAATGAAATAGGAAAAACAGACTGAGATGGAAGAATAGGATATGTGAGGGGGACACCCAGAGAGTTCTCCCTCTGAAAATAACTTTTGAGTGTCAAATGAAGAAATGATGTTGGAGGAAAGAGATTTCCATTGAGGTTGATATAGCTCCTGGGTTTAAAAAGGTATGTGTCAATTCCTTAAACTGAAAAATCAGTGGTGACCTTTCGAGACCAATATTGCAGGATGGGTGATTGGGAAAATTACCAATGCAAGTTCAAGAGTGAATTCCAGAGAAAGTGGTAGATAGTCCTGTAGTTCATATTAGCTAAGTGGCGTGACCAGGTAGATCCATTTTCTTCCTGTTTGACTGTAGCCAGCAAAACCCTGTTATGATTATTTACATTTTTCAGTACTCCCTCTTTCTTTTTAAATCACCTTCCTGTGACCCTCAGTTAAAACAAAAAAAAGACAATAAAAATTTAAAAGAATTCATAAAATCACATCAGCAAAGACTCTTGAAAATGGTCCAATTTACTGAATACAACTTAAGTATTCAATCTATGAATAGACATCTATGAAACAAATCATTTCTTTTGAATACAGCTCCTCTCCAAATCCCTAACAAAAAACTGGCAAACATAAAAATAACGAGAATATAGGACTGAAGAATTCAGGCTACCAGGGAGAGAATGTAGGAGGGATGTGAACACATAGGCATGGGGGCCAAATATTCTAGGATAGAGTGCTATGGATGCTTCCGTGGTGTGTGTTGTGAAGTAACATACATCTCAAGCAGTATGAAACCATAAAAAAAAAGAAGTATGAAACTGTGCCCTAATTCATACACAAGCTTGTTCCATGCCCCTTCTATGAAGAAGCCAAAAACTGAATGGCCCACATGATTCACCGTTCAAAATTATTTGTCCTAAAGAGTAAGATTTTTCTTTGCTTCTCCCGTTCACTACATTATCCTGTATGATTTGCTTAAAAGCAATGACTGGTCATATTCCTTTGATATGAAAGGAAAATTTATAGATTTCACCTTGTGGCATCTTTTCAAATCTCCTGTCCTCCACACCCACAGCAAGTGCAGCTGTTCTCGTCTTCTCCTTATTCCCTGAGAACACAACAGCGGCCTTCACACTGGCTACATCCATAGATTCTACTGAAGACCATGAAATACTTCCATTTCCCTTACTCCCATGTTAAGCAAGCCAGAACACCTATTTTTTTAAAAAGGAAACTTTGAACATTTAATATTTTATAATATCTCTACTTATAATGGTGAATGAGAACTTTTGTAAAATGCCAACTCTTACCTATCTTCATTCATTGATTATTCTTAAGATAGTGATAAAGTCACAACCATAAGCAAGGAAACACATTCCTTGCCTCAAAGGCATGCGTATAATTTGGATTCAATCTGAGGGTAATAGTACAATATATGACATCCTTTAAGTGAGCACAGGCAGGCTTTTTTTTTTTTAAGATTTATTCATTAATTTATGCAAGCACTGGGTACAGTCAGAAGTGCGGGAGGATGAGAGAATTTACCAGAGCCCGAGCAAGGAACAGAACAGGCAGACTGACAGAGTACACTGCTGAGGGGAGCAGCGGGCATGGCAGGGGAGGTTTGTCACGCATGTGGGACCCTTGCCAGTGTTCGGGCATCGAACCAGCACTGCAGAGGCTGTGGGCAGCTTCGCAGGCCAGCGCTCAACTGCTGTGCCACCAGGGAAAGCCCAGCACAGGCAGGTTTTAATGAGGAGGTAAGTTACCGGGGGAGGAATCCATTCCACAGAGATTACTGAATGAGCCCAACACAAGGCACATGTATCTAAGTGTTTTCTAAATGTGAAAGGCAACGAATAAAATACTGAGAGAGGGATTGGTCTAGAAACTTTGAAACATCCTTACTGTTATATTTAAAAGTCTGAGTTCACTTCCTTCGTGTTATGACAATTAATATAGAGAACCAGGAATTCAATGTATAGTACACTTTTAGCTTTGATTTTAAAAATAATTGGTGCAACTCATATTGAAAAAAAAAAACTAGTAACAACAAATGTTGGCGAGGATGTGGAGGAAGAGGAACTCTACTACACTGCTTGTGGGAATGCAAACTATACAAACACTATGGAAATCTGTGTGGAGGTTCCCCATACTACTAAAATGGAGCTTCCATACAATCCAGTAATTCCACTCCTAGGAATCTACCCAAAGGACACAAAAACATTAAATCAAAAGGACACGTGCACCCCAATGATTACTGCAGCACTTTTTGCAATAGGTAAATTATGGCAACAACACCCAAGCCCAAAATAGATGACTGCATCAAGAAGATCCAGTCAATCCAAAATATAGACTAATGCCATTTGCAATCACATGGATGGAGCTGGAAGGGATTATACTCAGTGAAATAAGCCAAAAAGAAAAAGAAAAATAGCAGATGGTTTCACTTATAGGAGGAATGTAGAGGATCCAAATAAGATATGAGGAAAAAAAAGGTAATTATAATAAATCAAAAATTAAAACCAAGGGCCTCCCTGGTGGCACAGTGGTTGAGAGCTGGGTTACGAAGCTGCCTGCTGCCTCTGTAGTGCTGGTTCAATCCCCAGCCACCGGGCAAGGGTCCCACATGGCATGCAGACCTCTCTTGCCGCCCGCTGCTCCCCTCAGCAATGTACCTCGTCACTCTGTCTCTTTAACTCTCTGCTCTGGCTCTGGTGAATTCTCTCACCCTCCCAGGCCTCTGACTGTACCCAGTGCTTGTATAAATAAACAAACAAATAAATAAATAAATCTTTAAAAAAATTAAAACCAAGAAGCAACTATAAATCAGAGACATTCTGCAGGGAAGGAGAATGGAGAAAGATCAAAACAGTGGTGGGAAGAGCACAAGGGACTACGGTGATGGTACATGGGTGAATTGGTGGTGGGAACTTCAGAGGGACAACACCTGAGAGAAGAAAGCATACATTGTACAAAAATGAAGAATGATGTAAAACATATATTAAAAGAAAGAATAAACCAGAAGGCATATTAAAGAAATTACTGAAAATGTAAAAACAAAACAAAACAAAAAAGAAATGCCTTGGAATACAGCATGGTGAGCATATAATACTCTATTGCGTATTTGAAAGTTGCAGAAAGTAGACCTCAAAAGTTCTCATCAGCAGTTTGACCATGTATATCCAAAATATTATCTTTTTAACATGCAAGCAAAATAAAAATGACTGAGAAAAAAAAAATATGTGCAACTTATGGAAAAGTATGAGGCACTGTAATATGATGGAAGAAATCAGAGATATATGTTGGGGGGGAGACATGACATGTACTTTAAAATAAGTTTATGTTGGAATGACATCAGGGTAATGACCAAACATGTCTACCTCATAAGGTCAGCATATCAAGAAAAAAGCTTGGTATCACCCATGGACAAAAAAAAAAAAAATGCCTTTCTGAGAGCTGAGTGCTCTAGTCCCATACACCATGACATCTCTGAGGAGTCCCAGTCTCGAGTGCACTGTGTACAGGCTCACAGACCACATTTCTACAGTGACCCTGCAAGGCCCAGGACCTGACTCCACATAACTCAGCTGCATCCAGGAATAGCTGAAAATCCTATCTTTAGCCACAGTGCTCATGGAACTGCAGTCCTTAATCTCCACTCTTCCCCAGTCTCTAGACTGGAGGAACATGTGGCTGTGTTGGAAAACTCTGTGTCCTATCGGCTTACTTTTCCCTAATTATGGCACAATACAGACAGCATCTTTTATAATGTGTTT